TAATTATCCTACTAATATTATAAATGCAAAAATTTGTGAGGATGTATGGATGTCTGGATGTATAGATATATGGATGTTTGTTACTCTTTCACGCTAAAACTACTGAATGAATTTTAATGAAACTTTACAATAATATAGCTCATACGTCAGAATAACACATAGGCTACTTTTTATCTCGGAAAAATGTACGTTTCCCGAGGAATAGATTTTTTTTTGTTTTTTTGAAGCGAGTTTAAGCAGCTAGTCCATACTTATATTATACCTAAATGTGAAAATGTTTGTTTGTTTGTCCTTCTTGCACGTCGAAACGGAATGATGGATTGGCGTGATTTTTTGTGTGGAAATAGATGAAGGGCTGGAAAGTGACATAGGCTATTTTTTACCGCGGGAGAATGTCTAATTCCCACGGGAAAATACGCTATAATTCCATGTAAAAAATATTTATGATCTGAGTTACCTACTTGAAACTTAGTATTAATGCTCTTCAATAAAATAAAATAAATACGTGTTTGAGTATCTTTCGAAATTCATCCTATAAGGTGGTAAAACAGGGGATGAAAGTTAGTATGATACTACCCTTTTAGACTTTTTTGTAGTTTAAGCGCGAGCGAAGCCGCGGGTTCTGCTAGTATTATTTAAGAATTTAAGTTCATTAAAGTTTTGTGAGGTAATGAAAAAAATGAAATCATAATGTCAAACTAATATTTAAAATAAAATAAAAGATTTGAATGAGAGTATGTTGTGTTTTCCATTCAACAGACTTGAGCGACATTTGAATTTGAAAAAGAGAGACAGATTCATTGCAATTTTAACTTAAATAGACACAGATAAAAAAGTTTTCTAATTTTGTTTTTCTTGTAGCATCATTTAACAAAAATAAATATATTTTTCAACTTAGATTTTTTTACTGCGTAATATTATATTTAACGTGCTTTAACTCCTTCATAAAACCACTATTAAGTCTTTAACTCCTCAATTAAGCATACCTGCCACCGCAGACCAACTAACGTCTAACTTTCTACTAACGATATCGCTAATGGAAAACTTTTTATGACAATGACATATTTTGAGCGCGAGATAAAGTTTTTTTTAATGTTCTAATTACAATTGCAATTGAATAATAAGAAATCGAACATGTTATGTTAATTATAGATTACATATTACTATTAACTATAAATTCAGGATTAAAATATCCTAATTCTCTATTTATATGATTAATAAATAAATATGTTGGGACAATAACACATAGCACCATCTAGTTCCATAGTAAGCTACGAGGCTTCAGTTATGGATATCAGATAGTTAATACACTACACATATAGAACTTTAAATGTACATGTATTGTATTGTATTCAACCCTTTTTAACGTCCTACTGCTGGGCACGGGCCTCCCTTCGATAGGAGGGCGATCAGATAGATGTCATTGATGTGAAAAAAATAGCTAAAGATTTCATTCCGTATATCACAACTCTGTTGAAAAAAGGAATGATAAATTTGAATAAGAATAATTAAATAACGCATATTAGGAATATTACAATCATATGTTCATAGAATATCATTTAAGGAAAGAATATAACATTATATATCATTTGTCAGACAATAACAACGGTTACCATGGCAACAAATGTTCGCCCCGCCCGATCACACTTTTCGTAACGCTCTCGTCACGCATTCACCAGCTTACTCTCCAAGTCAAGCGTGCGTAAAGAAGCATTACTTCAAAAAAATCTATGATCATAGCTTTTATAAAAATAAAAATATCGCCATCTATGAGTACACAGTACAAACTTATTACCTGAAAGCTTATTTTGCAATCATTAGCAAAGTACAGGATTTTAAACGCAGTATTTTTTTATTTTTATTACTAAAAGTCAGTAACAACAATACATATAACGCCATCTATTAACATATACATAAATATTAATAGGTGGCGTTATATGTATTGTGAACTAATTGTGATAAATGTTAAAAAAATTCTCCCCATGAGACCCCATGATGTAAATAAAACAAAATAAGTTGTATAATTCATATAATAAAGTATATAAAGTTTAAAAATACAAAAAAAGTTTTTTAAAAATAGTATGTGTATAAAATATGCCTACACTTATTCTAACATGAGAATACAATAGTAGCAGTATAAGTTATTCTTATATTAATAATAATGGATAAATGCACAAAAATATTAATACATATTTGCTTTTAGACTGTATTTATTATAGAGACGACATAGAGAATAGTGATTTCTCCTATGAGTGTCAAAAACCGTAGACAATTTATCCATTTCAAAAAAGGAGGAGGTTTATATATTTTGTGTGTGTATTACACAATATTTCCGCTAACATTCAATCAATTTAAAAAAAATATCATAATATCTCTAGGACGTTCCAAATTAATTTAAAAACAAGACAACCTCATCCTTTTTTTTTCATTTAAAACTATGAAAATATAAAAATACACAATTTTTTTATACTTCTTATTATGCATAACATGATGTTAATATAATGATTAAATGATGCTTAAAAACAAAACTTATTATAAGGCAGTAAATCTCAGACTAAAACGTCATATCTCACTTTTGTTAAAAAAAGCTAAAACTCTTCGAAACAAATTTTAGTTTCTTTTTGAGTTAGGACATTTTTGCAGCGCGTATTATAATTTATAACTATTTTTTCATACATCACCAATGAAAAAGTGTAAGTCTTTTCGAATTCATTACAACCAAAAAATTTTTTTAGAGAAACGTATAAAATAATACTGATTTTCCTTATTAAAGCCAAATATTTCTTATCTATGGCACGGATCACAAAATAAAAAAAAATCGGTAAATGCGTATTATCATAAAAAAATATGAAGCCGTCAGTGCTAAAGAGATTGTGATAAAAAAGATATGTAAAAATTTAAATTGTATCAAAGTTATTAAATAAATAACGCTATTGATTAAAAAATGTATAATTAAATTATTTTTTATTCTATTATATATAGTTTTTTTTTATTAATTTAAAATTACCAGGTTATGCCAGTTTTAAGCACTGATTGTTGACACTTTTATATTAAATATTATGTTTATCTATCAATAATTTTTTTTAATTTTATTGTAATGGTTATCGTACCTAAGGCATTTTTTTAGAACCTAAATATCTAACTTGAGTATTAAAGACAAAAGATCTTTGATAAATGTGACTACAAATATATTGTAATTTTAAAGAAAATTGTATATAAAGTGGAAGCCATTATCAGTCTAAAGTAGTAATATTAAAATTTACTTTGACATTGTTACGGTCAATGATATGTAAGCACCGAATGTCGCAGTCAAATTGTGAAATCTAGTCATTTTCTAAATTGCCTAAATTAAGGAGTTTATAAAAAAATATAAACGATTTCTTTAAATACTTTAGTCTTTTCAAGTAATTTTCATAATTAATTTTAAGAAGTATGTATATATTTTTCTTAATTTTACGAAATATTTTTTATTACGCTTCATTTGTTTTTAAAAGCACGATTATATTATTATTATAATACATATTTGTAAGTAAAAAGTTTTTTACTTCATATTTTTTACCGTTTTCTTATTTAAATAAGTGAATTATCATGAGTTTCACAAAAAAATAAATCTTAACAATATTTTTTAAATAAAATAAATATTTAAAAAAATCACGGGCTATTTAAAAATATAGGATACAAAAAAAATGTATAAAAATACATTTTTTTCCATATGACGTCATCAATCGTAAATTTAATACTAGATTTGCAGGTAACATATTTTACGAACTGGTAATAAAAATGATTTGTTAAAATATAGATAGTTTAGGAATATTGGAGCACCTATTTTTCATTTATTAAATTATATATAATATGATAAAACAGATTAAAGAATTATATACACGGAGCACGCCAAAATAAATGTCAAAGTCAAAAATAGTTCCGTGATTTGCTGTTTATGCTACTATTCTAGATTTGTCTATAAAGATCATGTACTTTCTTTAAAGAATAAGGGAAATTTTATATACGTATTAGTTAAAATACAATTTTGGAGAATTAACTAGCACCGAAAACCAAATTCTTAGGTTTTACATATTAGTATACTCTTAAATTGCAGTTTTTGCATTTTTTCTCAGAAATTAGATATTTTCCCGCGGTAAAAAGTATCCTATATGTTGACCCGGATAACCAGCTATCACCATACCAAATTTCATAAAAATCCCTCCAGTGGTTTATTCAGTAACAGACAGACAGACAAAAATTCTAAAAACTATAGATTCGGCCTCTGTATCGATAATAATGTTTATTTCAATAACATTTTGCAAAAAATATCTAATGTACAGATTCGGCTTGGTTACAATTTTATATGTATAGATAATGAATAATGTTTTTTAAGCATTAATTCTCTTCCCCTTGAAAGAGAGATAGTATAATATATCCATCTTTATTTTAATAGCATCCGTTGGCTGCTTTTATTTAATAACATTTATTTACTTATCACTCAGTAAACGAATAGTCATTTGTAAACTATTACTTGTCTACAGTAATATTATAAAGAGTAAAGATTTGTGATATGTCTGTAACAAATAAACTCATAAAGTACTGGACCGATTTAGATGAAATTTGGTAAGACGATAGTTTGAGATCCTGGTAAGGACATAGGATATTTTTTATTCCGGATATCAACCGTTAAGAGGGTGAAAATGGGGATGAAAGTTCGTAATCAATCCAGGGACGAACCCGAGCGAAGCAAGGGTGAGTCACTAGTGTACTATTATAACATTATTGTTTGGCTTCATGTTTAGTTCTATGAAACTCTGTCTATATTATTCTTTAATCTGAAATGTAACATTAATAACATTATTCTTAATTATACTATATAATATTGAGTATATATGATTCAAATGCTCGCCATTAAAAAAAACATTGTCATAAATGAAATCGAGATTTGAGCTGAAAATTATCGCTTTATCTGTCTTTTTATTGAATAAAAAAATTTAAAACGGCTGTCAAAAAAATTAAACGAGGCATATCAATTGTTTCCCTTCGTCCATTTGAAATTGTACCTTATCCGAGTTAGCAGCTTTGTCCGCTGGCTTTGATAAAGCACTAGCAATAAACACTTGGGCTACGCCTGTTGCTGTCACGAAAAGGGCCCAACCTGTAAAATTATTATTAACTTAATCTATATATATATATATATATATATATATATATATATATATATATATATATATATATATATATATATATATACATATAAAAATCAATGTGTGTATGTATGTATGTTTTCCATGGACTTCAAAACGGCTGGAGCGATTTTGATGAAATTTTCAAGTAATCTTCATATTAGCACAGCGAATGATCCCGTGAAGTTTGGTAGCGAGTTCGAACGCGGGCGAAGCCGCGGGTTAAAAGAACAAAGGACTAACAATTTTGAATAAGAGGTTTTCACTTTCCTAGAAAAATGTGCTTGAGAAATATTTAAAACCATTTTTATATAGTATTCGAAAGGATTACTCGTATTGGTATCATGGACAGAGTATTCTATAAACAAAAAAAAATTACTCGCACACTGACTGTTCAATAGGATGAGACATTAAAATTGTGCTGTAAGACATTGTTTCTTGCCAAATTTCATGATTCTGGGTCATTCTGGGTCATTCTAGGTCACACACACATACAAACTTTAACATTCATAATAGTAACATATACTCACCAATAGAACATTCACCGGGTAGATAAGGCTCTGAATAGTCTCCGCACATGCGTTTCACCCGCGGAGCACCCCATCCCCATGGATAGAGTAGAAGCCCTAGGACTCCGAATAGACCTAAAAAATATATATTACCTATAATAATAAAGTCCTTGACCTTGGCCGATTTGAGCCAAGCCGGTCAACATCCCAACTCTGGGATACTACTTAGAATGTATGTATTCAACCCTTTTTAACGTCCCACGGGTGGGCGTGGGCATCCCTTCAGTATGAGGGGGATTTTTTTTGAAAACTTGCTAGGTTCTCTCAAACATGCAGGTTCAGTCACGATGTTTTCCTTCACCGTTAAGACAAGTGGCAATGATGTTGGAAATGATTCGCACATGAAAATATCAGAGGTGCGAGACCCGGGATTTGAACCCGCTTCACTCGGTTTCCCAAGCAAGCGTCTTACCATTGGGCTACCACTACCTTCGAATAATATTTGAGAATATCTTAAGAGAAAAATTCAGTATTTAAACTTGGTCCGCCCCGGGCCTCCAACCCGAGACCTCCGGATCTGCAGCCGCACATGCTAACCACTACATCACCAAAGCAATTCAGAAGTATGTGTTCAAACACAAGCGCACTCTCTATCCCTGTCACTCTCTCTACATTTAATTAGCCTTAGGATCAAATTTCTCTCACCTCCCAATGCCTGAGTAGCTCCAGCCAGAGAAATGACACTCTTCTTAAACACAGATTGGACACAACAGGCCATAACGCCGGCTAATACTGTCGAAAATTGTATCGCAGCACCTGGAATTATTAAAAAAAATATATTAAAAAAATTATGAAGTTCTATTACATGATTTCGATTGCGGTGATCGTGAACTAAAAAAAATTGTATACTAATAATGGCTGTACATTAATTTTGAGCGTTTTTTTTTTCCAGTAGACTAATAAAAAGGAGTTTTGATGTTGGGGGAAAAATAATTAAAGTATGTAAGTTACATTGCTTTCTGTATAACTATAAATAGGAACTAACGACCCTTATAATATTAGTTAGAAATTTAATTTATATAAGAAATATATGTAAAATACGTATTTTTTTAAATTAAACGGTTTTATTGAAAAGATGATAATAATGATGTAAATAAAGCAGTAAAAGCTAAAAAATAATTAGGTAGTCTTAGACTTCGAGGTACCTGTCATCACACCACCCTCCTCATCAATCTATGACATTGATCAGACTAAAAAATTAAATCGTGGGGCGTTGCATATTTACTCAGGTTACATTTACATATAGGATTTGGTTTTTTTGTCAATATGTATTCTAGTCAAGCCTTATCATTTGATACCCATATTGAGAGGGTTGTGAAAAAATATGTAATCCGCCATTTCGTGGCGGCGGCCATCTTAAATTTACACTGATAATGAAATTATTCAATACTATTATCATCAGAACTAAAGGTGTGTACCAAATGTCAGATCAATCTGTCAACAGTAAAGGGGTAAATTTCAATTACAAAATTTGACCCAAACATACAGGGCAAGCTAAATGAAGCCGTTTAAATATGCATCAAAGAGGGAAGGGTAATAATAATAATGTCCTCCAAACTGATGTTGGCCAGAGCGCTTAATCTCACTGAAACTATTTATATGCTCAGAACATATTGTAGTACACAAGTATGTATACAAACACAAGAGCACTCTCTATTCCTCTCACTTTTTAAAGTCCGATGGGATGAGAATCCAAAACTCATGGTAAGAGATAAAGCTCAGGACCTATACATGATGTACGAGGCATAAGGATGCAACACTACCATCATCCTAACTCAGTGCTGTATGTGTGCTCAGTGTCTAAATGATAATTTTTTAACAGAAACATTCATTGACTGTAATTAGCACTATACAGCCTATTAGGATATTTGTTGTTTGACCTTAACTGATTATACAGTGGAATCCGTGTATTGATACGGCTATATTGACCAATCGCTTAATATGACGTAATTACATTGCTAAGTTTGGCTTAAAAAAAATTATAACATAGTCGGATGTAATGATTTCGCTTATAATAACTTGTCGTTTATTATGACCTATTTTGAAGAAATTATGTTGTTATAGTGACAGAGAGTTTCATTCATTTTCGTGAGCTTCCCTACCCCTACCCCTGCGACGACGTTTGGTGCGTGCGAGGCACATGAGACATGTGTTTCTTTTTCTTTTTATATTAAATGGATATACATACAATTTGTAATTTTTCTCTCTTAATAGAGAGCTAATAGCTAACCTAATATGAAATTATTTATTTTCTAAGATTATTCTTTGTATGACGTCCGCTTAGTATGACATCCACTTAGTATGTGTCTTTATAAGCAGATTCTACTGTAATTGTAGTGTACAATAGATATTTTATTCAAGTAGGATGGCAAAATTCAAGCAAGACTGCATGTATTAAAAAATTCAGACTGCACTCAAGTTTTCGCAATATTATAATATTATGTATTCTTAATCTTTGTTCCATCAAACATTTTTATAATATGCATAATTTTTTTTTTAAATGATTATGAGGAACCTTTCTTTTTTTAAATAATAATGACATTTAATTCACAATGCATAATACACAAAAAATGTACAACAAATCGAGTACCAGGTAGTACTTTGCTTAAAAATGGTATAAAATTTAACTTGACTACTTACACAATGACAAGAAAAACAAAGCAGCTTTCCATGGTTTAGGGTAAACAGCAGAATCAGTGGCCAAACCATAAAGAGAGAATGGTGCACAGTTGTAATGATCATGCCTCATGCGAATACATCTGAAATGATTTGTGTCAGATATATTAAACAAAAGTGTTAACAAAATGTTTGACCTAGTGTTATGAATGAATGAATTTTTGAAGTGGCACATGGATATTTTGGTGAAGTGGAGCACAAAATTGTGTATATAAGAACAATAATGTATTAATTTAATCAATATTGCTTATGAGGTAATAGAAATTAGTATAATTGATCTCACATATAATAATAGTATTTCAATTAACAAACTTTCCTATAAATTCAAAACATAATTAATTAAGGTAATTTGAAAATACTACTTAAGTATGTATTTTTTTTTTTACAAGTATTTTTCATGTATAAATATACAAACCTATTGTATATGCCCACACTAGGCACATAAAATTTTGTTGTATTATTCTCATTTAATACAACTGGCTGACCTAAAAGCCATTTGGGCGTCATAATACCGGTTAATATTAGCATGAACGCCACCAAGCTTAACAACAACCATGCTAGACTTCGTCCGGTAATAATTACGTAGCACATTGTAGAATGTAGAGTATTGTTAGTAATATCAGCACCAGTTTCAGCCAGTTATGGTAATTATTTAGGCCTGTGAATATATTATTAAATGCACAACTGTGAACAAGTTATTTTAATATTTATTCATGTTGTTGTCAAATGTGACAATGTCAATTGTGAAATGTCAAATGTCATTCTGCAATTGGTGCGTTCCACTAAGTGCTCACGACGATCATGTTCACGACCCTCGAACAACAATACTACTAGATAACGTGTCACATACAAAATCCAAGCTAAATTCTGTCCGCGCAAATATGCAGTTATAAAGCTTCATTTGTATACTAACGAACCAAGACAATGTCTTATAATAACTTTATTTTCAATCTAATCAACACCATAGCACCTTGTAATTAAGTCACAAATCTTCAAATTATCATTATAAACTTACGATCATTTCGTAAGTTTTATATTCTTTATTGTAAAATCAACTTTTAATTTAAAACATGTAAAGCTCTTTTTCCCGTTATTTTTTGTTTCTATTTGCTTCTTTGATGTTGCGCATGCGTTGGCCGACCTTGGGTAACATTCTTAACGGATTTAAAATTGTTCAAAATTTCATTTTTATATTATTTCGTAGGTTAAAATATTGACTTAATGTACATGTACTTACCAAAAAAAAGACATTCTGTCCGAAAAAATTCTTCTTTGCGCAATATTTTTGCAACTTTTAAATACACATTGCGGCCTTGTAAACGTGCTTATGTTGGCAGTGTTTCAATAGAACTAATCGAAATATGCGCTCACTTTTCAAATGAGCTTATATTTACCGAGACGGATTTCTTACGCCTACCCGATATCTAGTAGTATTGTTGATCGAAGCTTATGACCACGGGTTTTCTGACGTTGGAATCCTAAATTCAAGTGGAATGGATTATGAAGTGTTTAGTTAAAAAAATCATGATAATAATATATTTTCATTAATAATGACCATTGTTTATACTTACAAAATATGATACTGAAAGTAGCCGATGTTTAATAACATTTTTATTTTTTGAATGAATCAAATTGAAATTCAAACAAATTTGTTTGAAAATCACACTTATATTTTTTAAATGTTTTAAATGTGTTTTTTTTTATTTTTTTATTTTTTTTTAATCAGTAATTACTACGAATTGTCAAATGTCGGCTATATTGATTTTTATTTTTAAGACGATATTGACACTCAAAAGAAAATTTATAAATAATAATTATGAATTGCAATTATTTTTTGTAAGCTTGTTTTACATAATTATATTTACCAGTGGCAGCACGTTGAGCATCCGCTGCAGAAGCATTTACTTCTACTAAAATATCTTTTGTCGCATCAAATAATCAAATCTTTATTGCTTTGTTTTTAAAATCCTACTAATTCTCCCAACGCACACTTCGACCCATCTTTTGAGATGGATTGTCGTCAGCGCAACGTGAGCGTAAGCCATGACGTCATTAGTGACGTTTTCACCGAGTCTACGACGATCGTAGTCGCTATTTGGAACGGCCAAAAGAGTATTTTAGGCGACGCGAGCGCTTAGTCGAACGCACCCAATGTTATTTCAATAAAGAAATGATTCAATAAAAGTTATGCTACATTTACACGATTGCCGAGGCTTGGAAAACGTCTACAAGCTCCAAGCCTTTACAAACACTCGGATGCCATTTACATGCTTGTGAGTGCATTGGCGTATGTCGGATATGCAAGCTGTGCAGACTGGACGTTGAAGTTGTGTCGACTATTGCGTTTGTCTTGACATATTTGTAATTAAACATTATTATAATAAAACTGTAACTAACCTGAATCTGTACATTAAATATTTTTTGGAAAACCTTATTGAAATAGACATTATGAGTGTAAATGTAGCATTACACAACATAAAAGATCCGTAAAAAATCCGTTGTAGATATACACAAATAATATATTGATTTTTTATTTATATTTTTTTATTGAATATTTATCAAGTATACACAATATAAAAAACTGCTACCCAATTCTATGTAAATCTGTCTTAGAAATATCTGTCTTAGAAATATAAGCAGTACTATAAAATATTACATATCTTTTCACTTGTAATTTCTTATTTTGATTAAAAAATCTTAACATTTTAATAAATATGATAAGTAAGTTCTTTTTTCTATGTTTGAAGCTTTTTTATTGGATTATAAAATCTCTCACAAAAAAGTAATTAGTAAATACAAATTCGAAATAAATTAATTGGTTAACAGTACACAATATTTTATTAAATATTAACAGAAAGATTGATGTATAATTTACGTGTTGAATTATTATTAATAAATTATTAATTGGAATTTACTTTTTGTAAATGAACGCATCTAATGTAACTATTTCGAGCGTCACCTAGCGTCAATAAATCGCAATCAATATCGTTTTCTCACCAGTGCATGCTCTTACTCTTTCTTGTATTTCTTTTCATTTCATGATATGACTGCGTGAAATAGTTAATAGAATTAAGGCCTATTAAAACTTAATTTCACTGCGCATAAATGTTGCAAATTATGAAATAAATAACAGTATTTAATTTACTGAGTGATTTTAGCAAGTTTTTGTTTTGTGCAGTGTGATATTTAAAGTAAAAGGAGTGATCACTACGTAAGTATTACGTTACCAAATTGAGAATTTACGTCATATTTCAACTTTACTAAACATCTGGGACAACTTTTAATTTTGTAGGATAATAAAGCTGTCATTTGACAGAAATTCAGGTGTACAGTACATCTACACCTACAGTAATATTGAACACTTCGTTGAGGAATGAATCAGTGTTATTTCAACATTTCTTTTTTTATTAAATCGTTATTTTAATATAAACATTTGTATATAGTGTTCAAAACGGTGCCATGATCGAGTTTTGTTGAAGCATTTTTAAGGTACGTCACAGATGCGTGAGGAAGTGAAAAAAAAACACGATTTGGTTTGCCCTTGTTGATTGCAAAATCTCGATTCCTTTGTCAGATGTTCATACTTTTACTTTTCCTTATTTAAAAAAAATGTACGCAGATGAATGACAATAACTTTTCCCGCTATTTTACCTATTATTTTATGAACGTGGGTAGAAAGTTGATTGTTGGGCATATTCATTTTCATAGCAACTGTCGACAATATGTTAATAGGCCACACTTTACGCATGAGTAGCTCTTTAACTGTTGTTTGGTAAGTTTTTGTTAGAACCTGAAGTGCAGTTATGCTAGATTTTCTAGATTTGCTCCCATTTTGGACTTGTGTAACATATAAGTAATATGTAGTAACTAATGCAACATTTAGTATCTAATATTTTTTTATAATAACAATAGTATCTAAGTACATTATTATATATGTATCAAATAAATTAATTAAATCATAATAGTGTTGTAAAATGATTGCCAGTTTTGACAACATTCACCTTTTAGATATTAACAAATAAGATAACAATGAAGACCCAAAATATATAATTTTATAGGTAATTTTATAGGTAAAGGTTTTAGACTAACACAGGTTACAGCTTTTATTAAGCTGAACATAGTTATTTTCCTGTTAAATTTCATGAAATATATTTATATTTATTATACAGACATGAGTACTTACAGATTAAAAAAGTTCATAGAAATGACTCATGACAATTAATAAAAACACTGATACTTCATTGGATAATTATATAAATAACTCAAAGCTAAGATTAAAAATGCAATCTCAGTTGTATAATATATTCTTAAGTTTTTTTAATTGGTACCGTCCCCTCTTTGTTAAATCTTTGTATAAAGGTTAACCTTAGTTGTATTTTACACAATGTTTGTGTGCATTGTTTCTTGGCTTTCACTTTGGGTTTGATAATTTATTTTTCAAAATTTTATAATATGTTGGTAAATTAGTATTAGTAAATGAATTTCACATGATACCTTTAAATAGAAGGTAATCCCGAAACTGAGAGAAGTGAGGGTGAGCTGCAATTTTTGTTATAAGATCCATTCAGGTTTTAGGAATCAAGGAAGAGAATAAAAATAACCTTTTGTTATTGCCTAGTAATTAATATTATAGTTATTAATAATGACAGTCTATTTTAAATTGTGAGTTTGGTTTCCATAAAAGATGAATATTTTTGAAAACCATGTAGTTTTATCTATAAGAAAAACAATAACATTGGTGGAAATTACATAGTTTCACATTATATAAAGTGATTTTCAATATTTAAATAAAATTGTTCAAACATAAAGGTTTTGTATGTAATGGAGTTTTAAAGGAATTTAAAATTGTAGAGATTTTATTTTATTTGTTTGCTTGCATTTTATCTGTGTGTAATGCCAAATTTTGATACATTTTCTCAAATTTTGACTTTGTATTTGAAGACTCAAACATCAAATGATATCCTTATAATTAAATTTTAGTATGTTTATATTCTAAACTAGCAACTCACCCTCGCTTTGCTTGTGTTCAATCCTAGGTTGATTCCCCATATAAACTTTCAGCCCAGTTTTCACGCCCTTAAGGGATGATTTCCGCCATAAAAAGTATCCTATCTATCCTTCCCAGGGTCTCAAACTATCTTCTTACCAAATTTCATCTAAATTGGTTCAGTAGATCCAGAGATTACCACCTACAACCTCACAAACTCACAAACTTTACCTCTTAATAATATTAGTAGTTTTATTGCTTTAGACAAGAGTTTTTAAAATAATTACAATTAAATAATAATATTAGTTTAGATTCAATAGTTAACAATATTAATGTTTAGATTTTAATATGATACTTATATAACACAACTTTTTATTAATGTTCTTATTTATTTATTACATTACATAATATTGTGTGTGTCTATATTTCATATTATGGTATCATCATGGCCCATTGGTAAAGAAGAGGTTTCCCAAGTGGCTATTTTCGGAACTAATACTAATTATTTTGTTCAGGATACATTGATATAATATATTATATTTTAATATCAACTATCATGCATCAAATCAAAATATACTTTATTCGAATAGACTTTTACAAGCACTTTTGCAGCTTTATGTTTTTTTTTATTTATATGATAAGACCGGACCATCTTTGAAGGGCCCTATTTATTATATAAAGAATTATAAAAACCAATTTTCAAATGGGGATGATATTGTGTGACATAACCATAGAATAAAATCAAATTTAGATTGACACTCCTCCTTCTTGTGTTTGGTCCAAAAAGGCTACTTTTTCATTTGGTCAAATAGTGCTGCTACTACATTTTTAATTGTTTCTTTTTAATTCCTTGACTAGTAACATATTTAAAAATGACTCTTAAGTGCTAAATAGAAAAAGGTTTTATTTATCTAATTACATATTAATTTTTATAAATATTTCTTTAATGAGTACGACAATCAGTAGACGAGCAGGTTACATTTCAAAGATGGTCCTTAGTATGTAACTAAAAAAAAACACCCATAATGAATGAATAATTACTTTTAGGTGCTTTTAAAGAAATAGTAGAAAATTAGGCAATCAACCCATCTTTACAATTACTGAGCTTCACGGGATAATAATTAAGAACCAAAACTCTTCTCTTTTAATGTAGGGAATGTCTCTTCGAATCTGACTCACACTTGACTATTTTAAGTAATGGCTATATATATGTATGTATATAAGTATATGTTAGTTAATGTTATTTTTGCCATTGTTTCAGAATAAACATATAGTGCTGAATCAGAAGCAAACAAATTATGTTATTGTAAATACATGTGATCTCGTATTACCTAGTGTATGTTGTATTGTATGAGACGTGATCAATAGTTGAATCAGAATGAGTTCAATGAGCTCACACTCGAAGACGCAGATGCAATCGCGGAAAATTGATTTGGACCCGGTAAGTGTTATTTTAAGGTATTGTTTCTAAATGAAACTATTTTTTTAATATATTTTTTTCCCAACCTTGCCAATGGAGACACAGGACACAAGAAACCGTCTCTCCCGTGACCATGTTGGCTGTAAACGATACGTCGCGCAAAATATTTAAAAAATATGCTATAAATATTAGGCCCGATCCACACTATAAGTAGTTCATATATAAAATTACTCTACCAAAACGATATCGTGCCGAGAACACTAACTATACCTAACTAACGAATTCTTAGGGTACAATACCATCGAGCTGATTTTACCAGTATGTGGATAGTGAAGTCTAATGGCTACTTATATTTAAAACCCATATGATTATGGGTTCCTATGATTCGTTTTGTCATTCATGATCTCATAGTTGATTTAGTTTTTTTTTTAAACTTTAATTAATGACCTTATACTCCCTGTGAAATAGAACCCACACTTGGCAGTGTTGGTTTGATATAAAACAGACCTTTTTTTATTATACTGGTGTCCCCTATGGCCGAAATTCGACTAAAATTATAATTAAAAATTTTAAAAGAAAAATAAAACTAGTTGTTTAAAAATTTTTCAATGATAACACTAAAACTCGTTAATAGCTACTAAAAACATCAATTGACAAACAGAGAAGACAAAATGTACTGAATTTATATATAGATTTTGCGCAATTGGTATCTACATTATGGAATTTGATATTCAAATCCAATTATTCGTATAATAAGTCGTGTATCACGTAGATGGCTTCTCACGTAGGAATGGAGCGTGACGATAGCGGGTTTCGTTATTAATGTTAGTTTATAAATCTGTAAGTAAAACTCTTAGGTAACATTGTTATACTCTTATCCCCATCATTTGAATTTCTATTGCAACATCTAAAACTGATTTTAAAAATATAACGAATTATTTAAAACCACATAACAGTTAAAACTCATTTAAAAAAAGAACTCTCCAGAGGCCCAGTCTCGCTCTAGACCATGTTTGCTGTAAAGCATTCGAAACGTCAGGAACCAAAAATTAAAAAAAAAACAACAAAGAAATATCCGAAAATATATACTTTTATTAAAAAGGTAGTATTGTTCAGTATTGTGTGTGTATAAATGTCTGGACATTAACACACAACACCATCTAGTTGTATGGTAAGCTACGAGGCTTGTGTTATGGATAACAGATAGTTGAGACAAAATGTACTGAATTTATATGTATGATTACATATATATTATATAACTTTAAATACATACATATTATAAATATAAACACCCATGACTGGAGTACAAACATTCGTGCTCATCACACAAATGAATGCCCCCAGTGGGACTCGAATCCGCGACCGCTAGCGCAGCAAGTAGGGTCACTACAAACTGAACCAAACGTCTTCTGTTTCGTCGTGTCGTATGCTTATAATATGTTATTGATTCGACTCTGGTATTTTATAGTAAATAAAAAATGCCGTCACAAGTGATTAACCTAGTCTAAATATATAATATATATTTACATATGTATGTGTACTTAATATACAAATTTTACCAAATATATCGGTGCCCTCATAACGCTTCTTTTTCATTATAGTATTGTCAGGATTTATTGGAATTACTTTATAAATGCATCTGTTCTATACTAGAGTTCTATACTAATATTATAAAGAGGTAAAGTTTGTGAGTTTGTGACGTTGTAGGGGGTAATCTCTGTATCTACTGAACCGATTAAGATGAAATTTAGTAAGAAGATAGTTTGAGACATATACTTTTTATCCCGGAAATCATCCCTTAAGGGAGTGATAAGGGGAATGAAAGTTAGTATGGGGAAGCAAGCTTGGTATGAACCCGAGCGAAGCGAGAGTGAGTCGCTAGTATATAATATATATGTTTAATGGTAAAAATGTTCGTCTTTGTACATATTTTTCAAAAAAAATAATTGTGTTTGCATAAAAACATTGTTACAACACTACATAATTTTGTAGTTAAGCGCCATTTTGAAATATGTTTATTTACACTTAGTTTTTATCTGAATCTGGCAACATTAAATTAAGTGTCTGAAATCTTGATTAATACCTAATCGCAGACAGCTAATTAGTAGTTTTGTTAGAATGTTTTTTAAATGAAGATGATAACGTGTTACCGATAAGAAATTCATATCAGTCAAGCCATACTTGTTTGTTTTGATTAGGATATATTAGACTAAAATTTTGTGTTTCTCATCGTTATATTATACTTGGAAATTTCATTCAGATGTTGATATAACTTGTACGAAGAAACAAATCAAAAGATGTCTACATAATTTTTAATACGATCTTTTTAGACATACTCCTAAGTTATATGTACATATAACCTATGATTAACTATCTAGATGTAGTATTAAACAAGGTCGCCGTCTGTGTCTGTCGGTTTCACCGCTGACTTCTTCTAAACCAAGCAACAGATTTTGATACGGTTTTTACTAATAGAAACAGGGATAAACGAGAAAGGCTTATGTTTATAATATGTTTGTATTTTTTTACGAAATGCCTGAGCCTAGACGGTGTTTTGTCAAAAAAACGTACAAACGTTACGTATGACTATTTTTATCTATATAAAACGTACCCGCACCAGAGCGAAGCTAGGGTAAGTCGCTACTAATATATAAACTTTGAAAGTAGATTTTACCCTAAACTTTATTGTTATATTGGTCACACAAAACATAATTTTCAATCTATACTAATATTATAGAGGAAAGATTTTATTGTATGTTTGTAACGAATAAGCTCCGAAACTACTGGACCGATTTAGATGAAATTTTGGTAAGAATATAGTTTTTATCCCAGAAATCCCTTAGGGGGGGGGGGGGGGTGAAAATGGGGATGAAAGTTTGTATGGGGAATCAAGCTAGGGACGTATCCGCGCGAAGCGAGGGTGAGTCGCTAGTACGATCATATAGTCAACAGAATAGTGGAACTCTTCAATGGTTACTAGTGAAATTCGAGTAAACTTCAGAGTTTTGGCTCATTTGATTCTTTTTGACGTGTCTATAGACCGTAACAGGGGATCGGTCGGTAGTAGAAGACATACATACACAGGTACCTACAACTAATATGGGTAAAATATTTATGTCTCCGACTACATAATACTATGTTCCTTCGTCAACTTGTTCACATCTTTTAGTCGGCTTTTTTATTTTTTCTTGCTTGACTTGCACGTGTATTACATTAAAATGGAGCACAATAGTATGGTTGTTATATAAAGGTCCGAGTAAACGATATTGCCGAGTTTCTCTTCATTCGGTTAAGTTTTATAGTATAGTCCAGTAATCACTTGTAATACTGATATAGTTATGTTTATTTTTACGGTAAAACAGTAAAATGCCTTATATTTTTTTAAATCTAGAATTTGTTTGGAAGATAACCCTTTTGGAAATATACCAAAAACGTATACTCGAATAGGGAATATGGGTGTGATTTAAATAAAGGTGAAATATTTTTTTTTTTATATTCTCTATTGCTTTTGAATTAAGCCTATATTAATAGTTTTAAAGTAATTTCTTTTTGATTAATAAAATAATTATTAAAAAGTGCAAATATAGGTGTGAAATGCAAAGTAGTTGAAACGAACGCCATCTATCAGACCGAATATGACGTCAGAGTATATCATAACAGAGCGATTAGCGATTTTGTCGCTACAAATTGCGTCGTCATTTTTCTGTGTATGACATACTGTGACGTCACGCCAAGCGCGCGAAATGGCGGGTGTTTGAAGTATCTGTGTCGGTATGATATTTAAAAAAAAAGTAAGTTTTAGTTTTTTTTGAAGCTGGATAGTTTTTTACATTTGTATATTGATGTAAGCTATTGTATAAAAAATATAAAAAAAACACGCATATTCCTTATTGAGCACCACGTTTTTGTAGATAGTACGTAGCCCGTGCAACTCTTCCATCTAAAGAGTATCTCTATCTAGCTTTGTGATAGTGATGTAACGTATGTTTGATTTTTCATATTGGCGAATGCGAATGCGAATATTCATCTCCCAATATTCGCGAATGCGAATGAGAATATTCATCCTCTAATATTCACGAATGCGAATGCGAATGTTGACTTCACTAAACATAATTTTAAGTTAAATATGCATTTTTTTTAATTTATATTTTATTATTTTTAATTGTTAGATAAAAATATATAATGGAATAGAAAAATATATAATGGAATGAAGCCAAAGGTTATATATATATAATATAGCATTTTGGATATTAGAAGTTTAATTTTGGTTCAATATGTTTTCTGTAAAAAATAAAATGTAAACTATATTTTAAAATAGTTGTTGTAATCTGCTAAATAAGTACAAATCTTACATAATTGTAACATGACTTATTGGACCTAGATATTATCATTAAATTGTGTTACACCTCTCAATTTCTTTTTTCACAAGAGATATTATATTTTGAAATTGACTTTTTTTTAATGTAAGGAAGGACATTCTTTTTTTTAATATTTTTTTAAATATTTTAATTAAGTAGACTAACAAGAACAAAAGAGAAAGTATATCTAATTTAGATGCCTACCTCAAGACTGCTCCATAAGCTTTGTTTTTCTCAAATATTATAAGTAAATAAAAAAATATAAATTTTATCAGTTATATTATCATTCCATATACATATAATTTCCTTTTTGTTTGTAAATAAATACATTCGTCAAACATTTCTTTTTCTGGCGAATACGAATGCGAATGTCAAAAAATATGCAAATGCGAATGCCAATATTCGTTACATCATTAATTTGTGATTCGTTACGCAATAAAAAAAACAATCGTGAGGACTGCCGACAGATATGAAAACTTAAAACTATAAACAAACAGTTGTTATTTTTGGATATTGAAATTAATTGTTTGATCTTAAATTAAAACTGTTTACATTTATATGGTTTTGACATCTATTGGCACTCTGAGTGTTAGCGTTAACACGTCACGTGACCATGTCGATGACGACATACATGAATTTACTCCCAACTCAAACTTGCCTATA